ATGCATACAGAAATCAAACCACAATAGCTGATATATAAGTGATCATTGATACCAAACTTGGTATATGTAAATTGTGACTTGGCTAGTGAATGAGGACTGAGGACCACGATCCTATTTGCTATCAATTAAGAAAAATATTAGGATACTAATGCATGCACAGTATGAACTAATTATTAACAATGTCCAAAATAACGTATGGTCGTAGACCAAATAAACAATAATATTGCTTTTTATAGGTAATGTCCTATTAGCATTTGGGTTAATACCTTATATGCAAACAGAATCGAAAACTATATCTTTTTTTTCGGATCAAACAAGTATTCCAAAACAAAAATCGTTGTCTTCTCCAATTAGCTCACAAACCCAGATTTCGAAAAAATTGTTATTTTTTTATTATTATTTTCGCATACATATAATGACCGATTTTTCATCCCTTGTTTGCGATTATCCATTTAACACTTATTGTTTTAGGATTAAATACAATCCCAGATTCATACATGAATCCAAATTTCGAATGAACTCTTCACATATAATATGTAAATCGATGCATATTTTCAATTTTCATTGATGTGCGAGTGTATTTACGGGACAAATTAAAGATTACCATAATGGTAGTTAATCTCATCCATGGATAAACAAACTTGAAGAACAATGATGAATAATGAAGAACATTGGTGAACAATTTTTTTTATTTTGATTATTTTAATTTAATGTTATTTTTTTATTTAATTAAAAACTGATTTTAATAAATAAATTTTGAAAATCATAAAATAATTTTCAGAAATTCAATAATTATATCTTGGAAAATAAAAATTGAATTAAAAAAGGAAAATACTAAAAATAGTGTTTGACCAAGGTTAAAAAAAAATTAAAAATTCGTCCAATGATAATTAAGTATAATGATGGTCCAAATAAAGTGGACCATAGTAGAAACATCCCTAGATAAAAATAAATAAAAAAATAAAATAGTAGTTGCTAGGCAAAATCTAGTTGGAAATTGATCAAATATTGTTCGAGAAGATTTGAAATGAAATCAAAACAAATGATAAGTTGTTTTATTATCGATCATTATTTGTTATTTCATTTGAAAAAATTTATGTAGATTGAAATAATAGATGTGATAGAAGTTCATATGACAATCTTTAGCTAGTTAAATGTAAGAGATTTAGGGACACTAAGTGGTAGGAAGGATAATGTATTGATATAATTGTAGCGTGTTTCTCAAAAAGGGTGTAAAATCCAATTCTGGACAACTGAAAGATGAAATTTTAAGAAACTAGTATAGTATAGAGTAAATATAAATTTTTTAGTTCATCTGTCAATTTTACAATGGATATACTCAACACTTCTGACAAAAGGGTAAAAACTAAGGTAATCATGCGATTAAGAAGCATTGAGGAGATCACCAAAAATTTGATTTCGACTCCACATTCCAAATGCAAATTTTGTATATCATATATACAATGTGAAAACCCTAGTTGAATATGACTCTAATACCACTTGTTATAAATGGGTGAAAGGTAAAGAGGAGAGAAACACTACTGAATATAATCCAAGTGATGATCATTGGTTTCCAAAATGATTAAACACAAAGGGGGGCAGAATAGTCCCCTTAGATGATAAACTATAAGTCTGTTAATTTATCTTTTGATATGTGGCTAATAAGACTTGTACTTGAAAATTAGCATGACAAAAAGGTGCTCAAATAACGTTAGAGCCTCTTCACCATCATTATTGGAAGAGAGGTAACATGCTTATTTTGTAGTTCAATAAAGCAAACTTAATGATATAAACTTGGTGAGTTTATTGGTGATGATAATTTAAATTTCCTCGTCATACAACTAATAGTAACTTACAAGGTCGGTACCATTGGTTGCCTAGGTTGCTCATTATAATACTCAATTGCACTAATGAAGCTAATCAAGTTTATTTAGTTTGCACTAATGAGCAAATTGGTTTTGCTCATCTCACTCATCGCGGAGTACTTTACATATTTACCTATTTTTTACATGTTAAAAAATTAAAGAGAAATGAGTGAAACCAGTACACTCATTTTTCGCAAGCTGGGAAACATAATTACCAGATGTATACAACAATGTGCAATTGGATGTATAATAAAAATGGACCGATAACTTAATGTCTAGCATACAATAGAAATATTGTACAATTGTACTCATGACTTCTAGTGTCTTATGATAACCGTTTTCAACATAAAACTTATTACAATTGTACTCCACGACTCTATATTACATGTGATCTAGTCAACAAATTGGCTATTTCCTTTGTTAATTTGTGAAAATAATTGAAAATATATTGCAACATTACCGTTTGTAATTTTAATTATGGGATTCGATCTTGATGCCCACTGACCACTGACAAGTAATTCCTATTTCTGTAACCAATGTTAATGATAATAGTTTCACCATACACATATACACATGGCATTTAATATAAATGTCAGTCCATGAAAATAAAAGAAAAATTATAATCCTAGTTGAATAGATTTATTGTTTATCACTAAAAAAGGGAAACAAAAATCTTAGTTGGGTAGATTTAATTACATGACAATTATAGCATTAGAATTAATCACCAATACAGAAGAGCCAAAATTGAATCGAAGGTATTGGCGTCCTTTCCAATTTGTTATTTTTTGAGCTCTTGGAAATATCATTGAATTCTACTCGTAAAAGAATCCAAATTTACCACCAATAGTGATCTTGCGTAGCATGGATCAATCACGCAACTATGCATAAATTTACTTTTTTATGTTTTCAAGTAAACATTTTGGACTTGTTACCCAATTTGACTACGTTTTTAACTTAATTTTAGTGATCAATTTAAAAAGTTAAAATCAAAGTCTTATTTTTGATGATTTTAAATAACGATCTTGCTAACGAGCGCCACAGGGTGTTAGATAAGGATAAATTATATTGGTTAAAATGTTATTAAGTTAGGAATTCATGACAAAATCATGCGTCGTTCAGTGTAATTAATGTTAATTTTACTTTAATATTTGCATTTTAATTCTCTTATCTAACGCCCCCGGGCGCTCATTAGCTTTTGCCTTTAAATAAATATCCTAGTTTTTGAAACTTGGACTCAATTAGTTTCCTAAGTTGCTCATTAATGTAACAATAGCACAAAATAAAAGTAACTCAAACTTTATGAAACACCTTAAAAAGTAATTCAAACTTTTATAAATAATAAAAGAAGTATAAAAATTGTGAGACACATCAATGAGTTGTATAAACAATAGGGTAATGTTATATGTAACCTTAACAAGCATTTAATATTTTTTCTACTCGTAATTTGGTATTAATTAAGGAATGCATCACAAAATCACGCATAAATATATAAGTGTAATTAATAACCTAAGCAAGGGTATCATTTTCCACTTCAATTAAGTAGCGCAGGGAAGGGGGTTTGGGCAAGACGGGGGTGATTGTGTTATATTTGCTTGAGAACCCTATGAACCAAGAGCAATCTTACTTCCTTGTAGTTCCTGCTTTAGTAGCTACATTGATTGAACTCCAAGCTTCATCAGTGTTGATTTATCACATAAATTGGTTGAGGTGGCTTCCACGACCCATTACTGCTTGCAGAAGCTACTTGCTTCCTCTTATCGGCATGATGTGATTAGTTAATTTATTATTAGTAATAAAAAAGACGAAAAACAACCCAAACATGAATTACTTTAGGTATTTTTAAGAAGACATGCACGCATGATTAAGTGTGTACACCAATCCATTTTTAACATAAAATAATTTAAAGCAGTACTATCATATTCACGCCTATGATCATCTTAAATTGATTCAATGAGATGTAATTTTAGCAAGTTATCCTAGTTGAAAAGAATTGCAAAGTGCAGAGTCATGATCCTTAATATAGTTTATGAATCTATTCAATTTAAGAAAGCTTAAATTGGTGCCCTAAGGTGTCCTTAATGTTCGTTCCAAGTTAATGGAGAGAAAGGCGCAAAGGTTGTGTCAAGACAACTTGATTGTGGACTGGTGATAAAATAAAGGTCTCCTTACATCTTGTAATTACTGACGACATGTGAAGGTAATTTATTGTAAAATCACTTTAATCAAATTCTACAATTACATTTTTATCATAAGTGAATTTATTAACTGATATCACTTGTTAACTAGCTAAGGGACGAGGACATATCAAAGGGCTAAGGGTTGGTTATGATGTATTGTTGAATGACCGTGATTTGTTATAAGAATACAAATGGATATTGCAAACTTAGGGCCTGTTCTTACAGTTTAATTTCAGTTCAGTTTACTTCAGCTTCAATAAGTTTAGTTCAGTTTCTAATTTCTTTCTCTTATAAACAATTCAGTTCAATTCAATTTTGTTTAGTTCAGTTCAGTTTAGTTTCAATCAGTTCAGTTCAATAAATCAAAACAGACCCTTAAATATACTCCATACATTTCAAATTATTTTGATGGTTAGGTTAAATTAATTTAATTAAGCTAAGTTTCCGACTCGCTTATGAACTATATTCCACACTTTTATTAATACAAATTCAAAACTAGAACTCGAATATTTATTATCTTAAATTAACGTCATTTCAAATTTCATCTATTACGTTTTGGCTATCATCATATTCCCTTGTTCATATGATTCATCAATTCACTTATATTACTCACTCACTCCACCTTCATGATCTCTCTTCTACTCATCCATTATTGACAAACTAACCATATATAGATATCATGCTATGAAATAATCTTACAATCACTTCATTATTACAAAGTTCACTCTTATTAAATATTTTTAAAAGATATGTCGATCAAACTTGTAACACTAAATTACTGAATTGGATGAAACCAGACTCTAACCTCGAAAGTTGAGCCATGATACATACCCCAAAATACAATCTACCCATAAAATGATAGTGTCTCAATACCATCATAATTACATTAGTATTGCTAATAATCTATCTCAGCAGATGATTGTATAGCAGGAGGGGAAATGGTAAGGTGGAGCATATCATGTGTCTAGAAGTGGCCCCAAAATGCAGTGCACGTGCTTCCCTATAAAAAGCCACGTCATTTTGGAGGGCGTTGATGATGACGATGAGTGGCCACAGATCTGGCTCTATTCCCCTCACACTCTCTCTTTTCTTTTAACTCCTACACTCCGCTCACTGTTACTCCCCCACCATTTCAGTCACCAAACTTTATATAAAATTCCTCAAAAATAGAGAGAGAGAAAAAAAAAATCAACAAAATTTTAAAGAAATCCTATTCTCTTCATAAAATCAATGGGAGAGGTTTGTTTATTTATTTATTAATTTAATTTCAGTCATCAAACTTGGATTTTCTCTTATTTATTTTTATCAACAGTAAATTAAAATGATTTCGTATTTGTTTTTGTTTTTTTGGGTGTTAATTGATTTGAATGGTTTTTTATGGTTTGTTTTGTTCAGGAGAAGAAGAAGGCTGAAGGAGAGGAGAAAAAGGCGGAGGAAGGGAAAAACCCGGAACCGGAAAAGAAGGCGGAGAAAACTGAAAAGGCTGCTGCGGCGGCGGCCGCAACGGAAGAAAAACCAAAAAGTGATGAAAAGAAATCAGAGGATGGAAATAAAAATGACAAAGATGGTAAAGATTCGAAAGAAGAACAACCACCACCTCCGCCTCCGGAGATTGTTTTGAGAGTTTACATGCATTGTGAAGGTTGCGCTCGCAAAGTCCGTAAATGCCTTAAAGGCTTTGACGGTATGTCAGTGGCAGAGTGGCCTTGATCTAGTAACAGTCCGTTACTATTATTAATACTACCTCCGATTTTTTTTCATTTCCAATATTTCAAAGTTGCAACTAATAATAATCGGAGTTAGTATTTATATATTATTTTTAATATTATTATTTCTGAGATTCAGTCATGTGTCGCTTTGATTCGATTAATTGAGCTTTTATTTCGATTGTTAGGGGTGGAAGACGTGACGACGGATTGCAAGACACACAAAGTGGTGGTGAAAGGAGAGAAAGCAGATCCGCTGAAGGTGTTAAGTAGAGTACAAAAAAAGACGCATCGTCAAGTCGAGCTACTTTCGCCGATTCCGAAACCACCCGCCGAAGAGCCTAAGAAGGCCGAGGAGAAAGAAGCACCTAAACCAGAAGAGAAAAAGGAAGAGGTGTAGTATTTTCATTTAATTATTTTATTGTTACTTTACATTTCTTTTAATTTGTTTGGATTTTCCTAAATTAACTATTTTCCGTTATAGTGTGACTTTTGTGTAGTTCGATATACTCGCATTACTTTTATTTTCTTTTTAGCTTTATTGCAATTGGGCTAATATTATTTTAATTTGGTTAATTTTAAAAGTGTTTATTTTTGTATTATGCAGCCAAAAATAATAACTGTGGTGCTCAAGGTTCACATGCATTGTGAGGCTTGCTCCTTAGAGATCAAAAAACGTATAGAGAAAATGAAAGGTGATTCCCTTTTTCTTTTATTATTATTATTATTATTATTATTATTATTATTATTATTATTATTTCCCTATTATAAACCAGACATAAAATCTTGGTTCATGTAACCGACCCCATCGTTAGGATTAAGACTTGAATATTGGTCTTATTATATCCGAAGTGTATCATCTTTTATACACCACTAGTATTTTCATATCAACACTTTTTGTTGGGCTACAATTACGAATTTGCCAAATCAAGTATTTTTGATATGAATTTTATTGTTTCTCGTTGTAGTAATGATGTGATTTTCTGTCAATGAATATAAAAAAATTGATGTGATTTTCTATTCCTTGCATCAAAATGAGGACATTCTTCTATTTTTATCTATTGTTTAACAACTGAAGAAATCATGATTAGTTAATTGGTTAAAAATTGATTCTTAATTCAGCCATACATTAATTTAGTCAGTGATTTGTTTATTGAATAAATTATTGAATGATTTCAGAGGTCGAAGAAGCAACCCCAGATCTAAAGAACTCATTAGTGACGGTAAAGGGTACGTTCGAGGCGGCGAAGATAGTGGAGTATGTATACAAGCGCACCGGGAAGCATGCTAGCATAGTGAGCCAAGATCCTCCTGCGGAGAAGAAAGAGGATGGGAAGGGCAAAGAAGGGAAAGAAGAAAAGAAAGGGGAAAATGATGAAGGGAAAAAGGGTGAACAAAAAGGGGAGGGGAAGGGAGACAAAAAGGAAGAAGCCGGTGGTGGTGGCGAAGGGGGCGGGGGAGGAGAGGAGGGAAAAGGAGTAGCGGGCGAGGGCGATGGGGCGGCCGTGGTGGTGGAGGAGGGACCTAGGATTGTAGAATTGAAGAGGAATGAGTTTAACCATTACCCTCCTAGGTATGCATTGGATATGTATGCATATCCTCCTCAAATCTTTAGTGATGAAAACCCTAATGCTTGTTCTATAATGTAAATTTTTACTTGTAAAACCAATTTATGGGGACAAATATTTAGTTGATTTTACTAGTACAAGTATAATTTTGGGATATGTAAAAAGAAAAAAAAAAAAAAAAAAAAAAAAAAAAGGTGAGGGGTGGTGGCCTAGTGGTGAGAGGAATGGAAGAAGGGTAATTGTGTAAATTCATAATTCGCCTTTTCTTTTTGTCTCTTTACATGTGCTCTTTGGTTAGCAAGCTCCTTTTAGTAGTTTAGTATAAAATCCATGCAGAGAAATCCTAGAATGAAATTTTTGGTGAGGACCTTTTGTACCTTTTTGTTGTTTATAATAATGTAGTAGAAAAATAGAAATCAAAATAATGAGTTGTGTAGTACATATACTACTAATAATGTAGTAATGTATTATATTAACAATGAGTAAATAAATAAGTATTTATAGTACATACGTAACATACCACTTGGAATCCAATTTGGTTCTCCAATGCAAGCCTTACTGTTGTTTTAGCTATATTACCAATTTGATATTCTAGAAAATCTTAATGCTTTTATAGATTATTGAACTAGTTAAATATATAACATGATCATAAGATTTAAGTTAACTAGGTTATCGTTGTTTCTTGTAACTTGATTTTTGTCTTCTATCGTTATTCGACGAAATTAACATGATTAAATGATTAACATAATCATGGAGGCTGTATAAAGTTTTTCAATATATATACTAAAACAATATACCCTTAAGATCAGTTTTCAAAAAAAAAAAAAAAAATATACTCTTAAGATCAACATCCTAATCAAAATCCTTAGCTGATGGTCGGAGTTGTCAAATTGGTCTATAATATACTTTTAAGATCAACATATATTAATCAAAAATCTAAACTGATGGTTGAGGGAACGTATTCAGATTGGTGTAAATTCTATCAATATCGAATTGGCTTTCATTACATTAGCCGTATTAGGAAGTAGAAATAAATTACGAATCAAAGGCAACTAAGACACAAAGTACAATAGAGGGATAGTTAAGTGTTTCTTACAAATTGGAATCCTAAGCATTAGCATGGCAGTTAGTTGAGTATAGTTAATTTAGTAGGCAATCTAGACATAGTAGCATATTTTGAGAATCTTTGGTAATTTATTAATATGTACCAAAGGAGAAACTGAGAAAGAGATGGGTCCCTAAGATTCAAGTGGGGGTGGAACTGAGCTATCTGCCTTTGCTCTCTGGTCCCAAAATACCATATGGTTTTGCAACTGCTCTCCATTTCTTTTTGAACTGTAGTGCATTAGGGTTTTTATTTTATTTTATTTTTTTAATTGAGATGTTTATAATTTAATCACTTCTGATTAAAAGTGAAATTTATTAGAAATTTACATCTATTTCAATGAGGTGGACACCTAATGATTAATACTTAATGCATTTGTTCGATATGTTATATGTGCCAATCCCTTCACCCCTTATGGCTCAATCAGACCCGAACGTCTTCGGGCCGTTGGATAAGCATTTAAAATCTTGCTAAAGTGGCATTAATTTGGGAAATCATGAAAAAATCACGTGTCGATCGGTGTAATTAATATTAATTTTAATTTAATCTTTCTAATTTTAACTACCTTATCCAATGCTTGATAATTAGTGGTGTAAAATTTGACTCGATGGACCCAATCAGAAACCGATTTGAAATAAATTAAATTCAGAATATAAGTTTTATAAACACAATAATTTAGTATGACTTAATATTAAAATTGATCCGATTCAACCCGACTTGACCCATCATTAAAGTTTACCTATACACTTGAATTGACACCTCTATGCGTAACTAAACATGTATTTCAGTTGTCAAGATCCTACCACAATTTTACTCATCTACAAACATTAGTACCTAACCTGAGATTTGGATTGGTGACAATTTTTAGGTCTTAGAATCATACAAAATCCAAATTGAGATCTTAACGACCATGGTCCCTAACTTTATATCAATTTGTGAATGAGTGAAATACTTATACATTTTTAAGGGATGTATTTATTTTTACTCTTTCTTTTGTTTGCTTGATGTGTGTTTGTTCCGTTATTTCTTTTTAATATTATTTCACTAATATTTGGGTCTGAGCAATGCCTCGAGTCGTTATATGATGAGGTTAATTATTAGTGACTCCATCTTCTCATTATTAAATTTACTTTTTATATTGTCATTCATTACATATTAATATTTTAATTTCAGAAGAGAGCATAAAAGTATGTGGTAGCTTTGCCTCAAAAAAGCTTTATTAGCTTGGTATGAAGGCATGTAGTGTTAGAATGGGAGGTTATATGGTTCAAATCTTGTATGACGAGTTGCCTACTAATAAGTTTATTTATTTAATTTATTCTTCTATTATATGTTTACGAGACTTTAAATGTAAATCAAATGGGCGAGTGTGTCATGTGATAGACTGATAGTAGAGTTTAATTGAGACAGCTTTAAAACCATAGTGTAGAAGTATAGATGTACAACTTTGCGCAACAACTTTTATATTTACAATGATAAACAATAATAATCTTTGCAATTAATACTAGTCTAATAAGATTTTATATGAGTATACATACTACTAGTTCTTTTCCCGAGCAACGCTCGGATATTCAAAAGGATTTTTTTTTTTTATAAATTATTATAAATTTGTACGAAGTATCTATTTATATTATCTAAATATTATAGATTAAATACGGTAATGTAGAGTACTTATCTCTAATTTTAGTTTGCTGAAATGTTATGAATTTGAAATTGAGTAAAAATTCTTTTTTTAAAGTTGAAAACGAACAATACATAGATTCAAGTGATTATATATAATACATTTTATAGATTAATGATTAAATTTTTTTATTTATTTAAGTTGTTATTATTGTTCTATCTTTCAGGTTGTTTAGGTTGTCTATTCACTTTTTATTTTTATTTTATTTATTTATTTATTTATTTTTATGATTATTATTAGCTATCTTATTTTGAAAAAAAAAAATTTGGCGGAATTTTTTTTAATGTGAGCGTGACACGTGTATTTTGGGGGAAATGCTGGTGATTACTTTAGTATATACTCCATAGTATTGATTGATTATATTATATATATGGTCACTCAATGTCATGTTTTCTGTAAGGGAAAAAGATTAAGAAACAAAGGCGTTATTATATTATTTGGAAAATGATTTATACAACTTTATGGTGATCCATGGGTGTTGAGAGAAAGATTGTACAAGAACTCAATAAGTCTTTCCTCTAAATTAGGGCCTCCGTTCCTATTTAATGAAATGAACTAAACTGAACTCATTGAGGTTAAATTGAAGTAAACTGAACTGATTAAAGCTAGCTGAATTGATTTAATTAAAATTAAACTGAACAAAATAGACACTAGTAATATAAAATTTCTTTATTTATTAATTTTATCATTTTCGAATAGTAAGCATATTCAAATGCTAAATATTTCATTTAGAAGGAGAGGTATCTGATTTGAACTCATAATTTTCTTATTATGTTAACTATTTTGATACCAAATTAGAGAAACTAGTCAATTAACGAGTTACTCCCTCCTTCCCTAAATTACATTCCTCTTTCTAGCATTTATTCCTCACATAATAGAGAGAAAGAGGACTATAATTTAGGGACGGAGGGAGTATTAATTTAATGGTTGAAGTCCATGATAGTTATATATTGTAGGTTTGTAGCTACAAGCCTACAACTTCACAATCACCAAGAGATTGAGTTTTAGAAAAAGGGTCAAACTTGTAATTAATATAATCCATTTTAAAATTCCATATAATACTTGAAAAAGAAAAGTAGAACTAAATTAGCAACAAAGAATGATGTAAAATTTAGGGACGTCGGAAGTTTAATACTCGTAGTATTAATTACATAGAAAAGTGTAATGAAGCAATAGTTGTCCACGAAGAAAAGTGGGGACAAAGGTAGGTTCAGAAAGCCATGATAGATAAAATTAATGCGATAGATTTTACTTCATTGTCTCCATTCTTATAGCTTTTATTTTATAGGGTAATTTCATTCATAAAAAAAACAGAGTGCTCTGTTCTCTTGCTCCCTTCTTATTGCAATTATTAGCAACTAGAAATGGTAGAGCTTCTGCCCACCAGACCTTTTTTTTTTTTTTTTTTTTCAATATTTATTTTTATTTTTATTTTGAAATGGATATGTCAATGCATGGGTCTACTATACATGTATTTTATTATCTTTATATATACCTTTGTACTTTTTTAAAAATGAAATTATGAAAGTTTGTCTATTATGTGGTACTAGTACTATTCTTTTTCGAAATTTACCTTATGTTCAAAATTCAAATATGAAATGTAATGAGTTACTTTGTTTATGGCGTTTAAGAGCATCTTTATTGGTGAACCCAAATAAATGGTTTATGGGTCACTATCATCATTTCTCTCTCATTCACATCAACCCAACAAACCATTTACAATATTCACTCTTAACAATGAACACTAAACAATGGTTCATCATCAATACTCCCTACCCCACCTTATTTTATTTTTGTAAATATAATCTTTTTTGTTTCATAATTATAATTTATTAACCCGATGTCAATGTAATTAATTGACGTATTTAATATTTTAATCGTGATTACTAATTAAGAAATTATCGCATTTTTTTATCAGCTTTTTAAAAAACTAATTCTTGTGATTAATATTTTTTAAACAACAACGCAGCTAATTTTAATTAACAAAAAAAAAGAGGTACAAATCGTGATTACAGTTCTACAACTATAATCTAGTACATTTTATTTAAAAAAAAAAAAACAACTACACATCGTTTTGTAAGATGTCCTTAGGGATAACCATTTGTTGTAAACCTAGTTGCCTAAGTTTTCGTTGTTACCAAATTTATTCCATATATGTTCGACCAAGTCGTTTTTTAGCTGCAAATGAGTCCGTTGATCCTCAATCTCTGTTCTACGAGATAAGTATAAGCCGATATCCACAATACGATCAGTACGGTACTCGGTAGTGTCCTCATTAGCGTTGCCTCCAACATTCATAAACTCATTGGTATTAACGTTATTTTGATACGTCTCTCGTTCATCTTCAACGATCATATTATGTATTATGATGCAGGCGAGCATGATATTGTGGAGTATGTCGGTATCCCACGCCAAAGACGGCTTTTTAATAATGGCAAAACGAGCTTGAAGGATCATATTTTGACCCAAATTTTTTTTCTTGTTTCTATTTGTTTTGGGGTTGGTATTAGCATCCATAATTATAATTTATATTTGGAAAAAATAAAAATTTAATAATAATAATAATAACGACAATAATAATAAAAATAATAATAATAACGATAATAATAATAAAGGAAATAATAATAATAACGATAATAATAATAAAAATGATAATAATAACGATGATAATAATAATAATAATAATAATATTAATAATAATAATATTGGTAATTATAGAGGG